AAAAATGATATTTAAAATCGCGTTGCACAAATATCAGTTCAACTGCCCCGTGGAGTCACGTGACAAAATGACCGTAAAACCTCATATAGGTACGGATAATGTGTAACGTCCACGGCCATGGACATTATCAACCAACGTGCATAGGTTGCCAATGGTTACCAAGAACACTTCTCATGTGACGTGATAGGTTATACTACGAAAAGTTAAAGCCCTGAGAACCCCTGTTTCGTCCTCTTCCCGTCTGTCAAAATTCTCAATGTTCCATAATATCCGGTTCCCTGACTCGTCAATCATTTACAATTAATGTAGTGATAAATTAACTTAATATGTGAAACTTCGTGAAAGTTTGCTTTGTTATATTGTCTTCGGCAGACATTTCGAATCTCTTTGCTCAACTTGGTTGATTATCCGAATTTGCTCTTTTTTCCGAGATTTTCCCGATTGTTTGCTAACAAGATCAGATTCAAAATTCAAAATTGATATAATACGGCTTAGTCTTAAATAGAGTTCGACAAATTATAATAAACCTATATACCTATGTCATTGTAATTCGTAATTTTTGTACGTTCTTAATTGTCTCGGTTCCTGTATTACATTCTTTTGCGTTATTAAATATTTGTTGTTCTTCGTGTATCCCTAAATTGTACATTATCTACCGTATCGATTTTCATCGACTACACTTAAAGCTTGCGATTCACAGACCCGAGATTGATATTACGAATTCTCGAATGAACGAAGACAAAGCCACTGTAGGTACATATTTATGAACAAAGTATAATCTGCTCAAATGAAATACATAGCTAGGAGAGGAGAGGCTTCCAGTGGTTCGTAATGTCTAGCATATTACTTTCCTCGACTTTATTGCCTTGCTCGTGTATTGTACAATGAATAGAAGACTAGCTACTCCAGCGTATAACGTAAACTTGCGCTAACTGACTTCGAACTGTAGCATTCTAATCAGACCTGAATTTGGACTTGGAACTCCACATACACTTGCGCGTAAAACACTAGTAGTCGTATAATGTATATAATTTTTATCGTTCTTAAGTATTTTCATAACTTTCGTTCAAATGCAGCTTTTTTTTTCAAAAAAATATTCACAATAATTTTTTATTATACTCTGTACATGTTTTTTTTTTACTTATTTCTACTTTTCTTTTAAATTATGTCCTCTGACGTAGCATCATTGCAATTTGCAGTTAACATGCGTTTTTATTCGTTACATATATTTTGTAATTTTCTTGATAACTGACATAAGTAGATACAGTCTAAGCGCGACGTCAATTCTGCATTTAAGGGATTCGATTAAGCAGTAATTCCCTTGAAGGTGATTCCTTAAAGTGGAGCTGCTCTATTACAACAAAACAACTCTGCTCTGACGCTTCCGAACGCGTTACTGCGATTAGCGGACTTGGAGTCAACTAACTTACCCGACTTAACTAGTTTCGGATACCTTAAGCTTGATTCCGATCAATCGTAGATTACGTGCAGGTCGACCCACATTCTCCACTTGAAATTTATCATTACGTATCCACCTCGTTCTATTTAGTTTAAACGGTCACGACAAATTTACTTGTAATGGAAGTAATTTTAAGAATATCTTATTGCTTCTAAAACTGAAACTGATAGTTCGCATAAGTGCATGCATTTGAAAAAAAAATTAATAACTGACACGTATGTATATATATAAGGTGGATGACCCAGTCATGGACCATGTACGTACCAGTAATCGTCAGTTGTGTTATAATACTGTAGATTTTGCTATAGTCAAAGCGCACACTGACGATTTGACTGAAGTTCGAACGTGCCAAAAGTCAATACATCTCTATTCTGTGAGTCGAATACGTCCTATTTTGGCCATAACCAGTTTGTTTTTGTGAAGTATAATGCTATAGTATAGATAAAGGGCGTGCATTCTTAAAAGATAAACAGCACGTAGACCTTCGGGAGTAGTTAATGGAGGCCCAGTGTCAGAACTAAGGTTAATTGCTACTAGAGGTTCATTCTAAACCCAGCTTAGGATTAACCCGCAATAAAGCTCAAGTTTACTTTCAGTTTAAGAAATGAAATTTCTCTTATGGTTGATCGTAATGACCCTATAGTCTAAAAAAGAATATACAACATATATATTTACGTGAAAAAATATGATATAATTGTATTTATATTTTTGCCTAAGCGGAGACTGCTATTCGCATTATGGAGTCGTCTACTTAATGTTTATAGCGCTAAAAGAGTCTTTTTCAATGTAAAACTGTTGTCTCAATTTCCAATGACAACGTGTATCACGAGTATAATCAATACTTTAGTTTCATACGTATTATCTCACCAGGGACGATCTTATCGAGTTTCGTGTGCGAATATTTGTAAATAACAAACTTATCGACACATTCCATTTGTCACACGGGCGGCCGCCGATACGTAGGTTACATCAAATTAATAGTCTAGATCATCGATCTATCCATTCGTCAATCGATTCGCGATCGTTAACTGTCCCTCGCAAAAGAAATCTCCGTTGCTAAGAGACACGTCAAAGAAAGCGAATCAGCAGGAAGTCATGCTTGAACGTAGAGAGTATAATTGAAATCGAGAAATTTTGAAGGTTCATTGTCAATTAAGATTATTTATCTAACCATCAATTTGAGGCTATCGTCGCTCTGTTTGTAAATGAGCTTTATTTCGCACGGCAATAGTGAAAGTGAGAGCAGCAACGTAACGGCAGTAGCGACACATTGGTTTTTCATGTACCAGAAGCATGAGGTTGGTTTAGCGGCTACGCCATTGCCCAACGTGTCACGCCAATGAACGATGACTTAAATGCCTTTTTGGTATCAGAATATTTCCTTGCGAATGAGTTCATTCGAGTAGTGTGTGATGCAAATCCAAAGAGGGTGTGACATCACGAAAAACAAGTTTGAAAAAGAGCTGCCTTCACAATATATCGAATGGCTCGAATGGCTGAAACGTTGAGCGCTTCGCACGTGCGCCCACAATAAGGTGCATTGTAAGATACGCCTGAGGGACATAAATTCGGAGCGTACATTAGAACTTTAATAGCCGTCATTGTTATGTAGAGAAATGCTCGAAGGAGAAGGGAATACTTTTGAGTGGAGATGGCTGAGGAAGTGAGCGAAGAGTGAAAGAGAGAGAGAGAGAGAGAGAGAGAGAGAGAGAGAGAGAGAGGCTGAGTGGGAAAGTGGGAAAGTGGGGACACGACGGCACAACACAACGGATTTAATATGGAACTCGAGGAAATTGGATTTAAATAAATTTGAATACTTCTGAAATTAAAGCTCCCCATGATCTCCATAGAAATGTAATAACGCGGGGCGTGGCTCCCTTGTTCTACTTTCTTACAATATTCAGAGCAAGTATCCGCCCACCTACGTGGAGATGCACGTTATTACGCGACTCTGCGCGTTAAACGAAGATGTTATGGGGAGAAGTGGCTCGCGTACCCGAACCAGAAGAACATTGATCCTACAATACATTATAGCGCACGAGAATAGAGGGTTGCGTGTGTGTACATACAGTACTCTGATTAGAAGTACCAACCTCTCTCTACTATATCACCATCTCCCGGGGTAGTCTAGCATATATCCAGCACACTGGCTTTCAAAGAACGTTGATTATCCTAAAAAGCTGTTCAGGGAGGGGGACTTAGTTTCGTTCAACGTAACGTAACTGGGCTCTGGTATTTATAATAAAACATGACTAATCTTTCCAGGGCGCGTTATCTGAGCCAACAGATCTGGCATTATTTACACAATCTCAAGTATTCCTAAAATAAACTCGAATCCTGCGCGATAAATAAACACGCCATATTTAATGTTATCGTTTAAAAATCTCATAAAACATTCCTCCTCCTCCTCCTCCTCCTCCTCCTACCTTTGTGCCTTCCCCCACTAGCCAGACTCTCCTTCCTCCAGGACCCTTATAACCCCCATCCCCACTACGATAGATGAGGTTTTCTTTCCCCTTCACATTGTACCCATGGTCCCTACCCCCACCACCATTATGTTATTTCCCCTTTCCCCTTACCTCGTGGCCCCTTTCTCTTTCGTCCCCTTTCATCCCACCACATCATGTACAGGGTGCGATTTAACCTGGCTTGTCTCTTTTTCGGGAAGGAACGCTTACATTACCAGCTGGGTGGTCTTTTTGCAGAATACTTTTATCTTTTCTTTCTGGACTCTATTATATTTTTATTTCCTCGAACGTTTTGTCCTTTAAATTTCGAACGAATAGCTGCCAAATTATTCGCTAGGTGGTATTCGTCAGAATGTTACAGCGCCATACTAAAGAAAATTACTATATGTATTTTGATTTATCACGCAAACCGAAACATCTTCGTGCTAGAAGAAACGGGTTATTGGTCTTGCAGCACAAACTTAGGAAGCGCACCCGGAGCGATTACCGTTCCGTCAATTGTTATAATCTGTCAACCCCATCAAAGTTAACCAATGGGTTACAATATCGCGGTCGGTTTCCATGCTTGAGTTCTTCTAGTATCCCTCTTTCGCTATATCCTTCTGATGTACCAAACCTGTTTAGGATTTTCGAGTTGTCAGTTCACTTTGTCTAACGACAATCCGAGACAGCCACAATTTCTAGCTTACTAGCTAGAAATGTTAAAAGCATTTGGCATACACAGTCACACAATAAAAAATTATTAATGCATTTCAAAGACCTTGCAGTGCTATCCGAGTTCACCCAGGGGGTCACGAGTAGCCGCTACAGCACTAAGAAGGAATAAGGAACCTGGAATGTCGATGTGTAATTCAACGTTGAAATCGTAGGTCCCGTAGCTAGTGCACGTCCCCTTATACTATACATATATCCCATTCCACTTGTTCCCATGTTCCGATGTACCCCCCACTCCAAATCGCCACCCCCGCCATGGTGGTGATTTGCCATCTCCACTCTCCGTCCGCGAGCCCCTCTTCGCGCTTCTTCGTATCCCTACTACACTTCTTACCCCCACCACTGCTGAGCGCGAGTGCAGCTCTTGAGTCATTCCCGCGCCGACCGCCACGAGGAGTGTGGGTCGTTCTGCCACGCTGTTGTTGCGCCACGAGACTGATTCGTCGCCATCGTTGACGCATTGATTAAAAATTCTCGCTGACAAAATTTTCGCTCACAGTGTACAATAGTCTATCGCGAGTATTGAATTCATTGTTTTTTTTGAGAGTGATCAGTGTGCAGTGAGCGGTGACCAGTGAACCACGCATGGATTAGCGTTAGCGCCATCCACGAATTTCGAGCTACGGTGTACAGTGCCCGTGTTAAACTGGATTTCATTCTATCGACGTGTCTCGCTGCGCCGGTAAGTTCTCACAGAGTTTGCTAAGTTTTGCTATAAAGGTATTGCTACCTCGTGCTCATTCGACTAGCGTGCCGCTTCGGATGGTGAGATGCTTGGTACTGCACTGTATGTTTGTGCCGCCATCTTGCGGCGGGACCACGAAACGATAGTACACACGTCCGCGTGGTGGAAAATTCCAAAGCAGTGTTCAGTGAGAATGCTATAACCAGTGCGTTTTTTTTTTAATTCTCCCATATTGATTATAATAAGAGCAATGAGCAAGCTTAATCGAACTTGAAGAATTTATTATAGCCTCTATTACCTGTCGTCAATATCTCCGAGGTTACTTCGTGGGATTGGTTTTTTATTTCCTACTTATCATGTTTTGTTTGTGATTGCGTGGCGTGGGATTTATGTGGTTTCGTGATTGAAACAAAAAATTGATAAATGTATATGAGGCACGCGGTGTACCTTCTTTTTGCACATTGCCCACCTCAATCTTTGCTCATTGACCGTGTTTATTTTTGCCAAAAACCTGTTGAATATAAACCAGCGTGTTCCGTAAATTGATTTTATCATAATATGCCGCTAAGAAAATTGTTTACAATAAACTCTGCCGGCATGAGGTCACTTATCACTTGTGAGGATGAACATTCATAGAGATCCCTTCAATGGCTGATATTGACTCATGTAAAACAAAATGGGGGTGCTTCTCTCATTGTCAGAAAAAGAATATACTATGCGCATTCTGACCCCAATTTCGAGTTACAACTGCAAGAAACGGCAAAAACATGAAACAAAACATACGTCTAAAATAAAATCTATCACATTCTGTTGCCATTGATAATACGAATGATTGATTGGTTAGCGAATGTGTCGATTATTCAGAAAACAGTTTGCGGACGATTGAGCTTGGACGGATAGTTGATTCCGTTGAGGATATTTGGAGGATGGAGGCAAACTACGAAAACGAGAAGAAGTACGATGGCAATTAACCGTTATAGTAAAACGACTGAAAACGATTCGCATGATTTGCCCGTAAAGTTATAAACGACCCTGGCGTTTACGATCGTACGGTACACACAGAAGGCAATATACACTAGTAAGTCGTAAAGCCATGAAACCAGATTTCCTGAACGAAGGAAATTAAGAGAAAGAAAAAGAAAAAAAGGAAGAAAAAAACCGGTTTAGAATTAGTTACTGTCGAAGAAGAGAACTGTAGGTATCTATTAGATCTGCCCATCAGGGTTCAGAATACAAGGCAGGTAGACATCTGTTCTATCAACACGCCACGGAAATGGCCTCTCTCTAGGCTCGCTAGTTCTATGTTTTCATTTTTTACTGTTTCTTCATTTCTTTTATTTTTTATTCTTTACACTTTTCTTATTTTCTGTACGTGCACTTCACAGAACATCAAAATTGTGTAAACAATCCACGATGAATCTACAACCCCGTTGTGCTCATTTCTTAATTCTCGTGCGCGTATTTCTACTTTTTTTTTTCCCCCACCATTTTATTTGTATCCATAAGATTTTGTTATTGTTATTAGGACAGGTAAGATCAGTAGAATAAATCCGCGTCCCGCTCTCAATTTATCGAAAGCTTTTACCGGGAATGATTTATCTGTCGTTTACTTATATAGATTGTGCGGTTCTGCAGTATATTCACACGAATGTTCTAGAGGTTTCTGGTCATGAAAAGGCCGCTATTGAAAATGTCTTTCTCGTTTCTTTTTTCTTTCATTTCTTTTTTTTTTTTTTTTTTTTCTATCGCTGTTACCCAAACTCCACAGACATACAAAAGAGCATATTGTTGTGTTCCGGGTGTATTGAGCCAGTTTATTTTCGAAATATCAAATTTCTCAATATGCAAGCACTGGTCTAACAAATCGTATACATTATTGGCACGACCTTGAAAGAGGTATCATTAAATTAATTGGAGCTACGTGAAAACCATAACTGGAGCTGTACGTAATTTTTTTGACAATCGCAAGTTAACAATACTCCAAACGGCAGTTAGCCGTCAAAAGAACCGTAAAACTATTGTTCCCTTTAATGAGACAATAACTTGGAGACTGAAGTGATATTCGCTCAGTCTCGAATTAATTAAAAAAAATCGTCTGTGCGGTCAAATAAATTCATACTGGCAAGATGTTTTTCTATGAGCAATATCAAATTGAAAGTATAATTTTATTCGGCATGATTTCGGTATTTTAAAATATTTTTTGCCTTGTAGTTACAATGACGTACAATGATTCACGAAGATGCCGTTATGTTCATAATAAAAAGCAAAGAAGATTTATGTTGGATAATACGATGGCGATGGAAATGCGCTGGGACGATCGAAGCGATGAAACGAGGCATGATCTTGTGACAGAACGTATAACGTAATAAATGACGCATGATACTATATGATTTGTTCAACATTTTCTCACAGTAATGACATGTAATTAATCAATTAATTACGACAGCTAGGCGAAGTAGGTTAATTGTATGCTTCAATGTAGATTATACTTGTCTATGAACACGAAGCAAAGATAACTTAACGTTATAATTCCTGATAGAGCACACGTATTGTGTCGGGAGACAGAATTGAAAATTAAAAGAATCGAGTGATGTCGATAGCAAAGCTTGCATAATAAAGTGTAATAAGAGACGAAGAGCTTAAATTCATAACGACTGTCACGCGAAAGGAGAAAGCTAACGATGCACTTTGAATGTAAATTTAAATCATGAAATATTTTTCAGATGCGCGAGTGTTTGCGAAATAAAGATTTGACCAAGTGAATTGAAGAGCTTAGATGGAATTTCATGAACTTTCCAAGTATCAGTATCTTTTTTAAGAAATTGCCCGCAGTAAAGACACGAGAATCCTTTTTTTCCTTCTCTTTCTTTGAAAGTTTTAAAAAAATCCTTGAAAAACAAACTTTTGTTACGGTTTGACGTAGATTCGTTATGGTATCTCCTGCATAGATTCCTTTAACCATCTCGAAGCTTTCTTTGATGTATCGGAGCAGTTTTACACTTTTAATTGCAATTAACACTGTAAAAGAGAAGATCGCTTTGATAGTCCCATAATGCACGCACGGCCGCATATTTATCTCGACAAGGATCCCATCAACCAACCAGCGAATCCCGTAGTACCAACCCACCGTGTGAAAAAATTCTGCGTGTTTTATATTTCCATGAATACGGAATGAATCTTATGCCCGAGGCGTTTCGGAAACTGGCCTGATTAAACTTACAAAGGTTTCGACGTTAGTTCTGCCCACAAAGTTGAGCCTCCGTAATACTTTTTTAGTGTTTTTTTTTTTTTTTTTTTTTTTTTTTTTTTTTTTTTTTTTTTTTTTTTTTTTTTTTTTTTTTTTTTTTTTTTTTTTTTTTTTTTTTTTTTTTTTTTTTTTTTTTTTTTTTTTTTTTTTTTTTTTTTTTTTTTTTTTTTTTTTTTTTTTTTTTTTTTTTTTTTTTTTTTTTTTTTTTTTTTTTTTTTTTTTTTTTTTTTTTTTTTTTTTTTTAATTGCGTTTTTCCTCTTTTTACTCTCCCGTCATATTCAAACTGCTATATAATCATTTCATTTGACGTGCACGCTATATCATGCCATCAATTTTGGATACATCATGACAGGTTTTATAAGGAAAATTTTGTGGCGTCGCCATGAAAGTGATCGAGAATATGAGAATGAAAGTGGTGCGCATGCGCATGTATTTTATTTACACGACACACAATTGATGAAGAAACGACGCGATTTTGATAGTTTAACATTGCAAGCAAGTATAACGCGTAACTAAGAGGTTTTTCGAGTTAGCGTCCACGAATATACAATGGGATCTATAGAACAGACTGGGTCCTACCTGCGTGTATAATTGTCTGACCCAAAGGGTCCCATTGTGTGTAGCTCTCGGCTTGCCTGCTGTTACTCATGCTGGAAAGAGAGGCAGGCTCCCTTTTAGTGGACTGTTAAATCTCACCGCAGGGATTTCGGAAAAGATATCCACGGAACACGTGTAAATTCCATACAGAAATTCACATAGGCATTATGCATAAATACTTAAAATATTGATCTCAAACAATATTAACCTCCACGAGAAAAAGGTCATGCAGATGCTTTAAAGATTTTCTCGTTTCTAGGTTTTTGTTTCCCTTCGTTCAATCCCCACTCCTCGTACTTAATATATGGTCGAGTTGCCAGATGTTAAATCCCGAAAGGCTATTTCCTTATGACTTACAATGTTAAAGTGATTCCCCTGAATGTGTAACTGATGCCGAGACCCAACTATTCGTGTAGGGACTGCGGCGTATATACATATATATCTACACACATCGTGTCCAGCAGGGTCTGTCACGTGTCCAAGATTCACAAGACTCTTACAGTTGTTTTCCCTGAATATTAATTTTCTTATATCTCAAATATATTGTAAACACATGAAAATGCCCTGCATTTTCCCATTATCAAAATTTACTCCCGTACTAACTCGTGATACTTGAACAAACGAAAATTCTTTCTGCCGCTTTACCCCCCCCCCCCCCCC